ATTATGATTACATTATTTGATGCAGCAGAAAATTAAATTTGAATTATCCTTTCATAATCGTTTGTACTGATACTTATCTATTAACTCTATCCCTTTCACAACTGAAACAAGAACTATTTTCCACAATCTTCTCTGTAGAGTAGTACCATATTATCAGTAAAAGATTATAGAATTAATATATAAAAGACATCTGAGTTATGTACTTTTTTACAACAATGAAATAAATTATGGATTCAAAAGACCTTTAACATTTTCAGCAGCAAGTAACAGAGATACATGCAATCAATATACAGTATTTTATATATATATATATATATAGTTTTTGTGTGCCAAGAATAAGATCCTTAATGATACGAAAATGATGCAGTTATCCCACTTTAAAATTTGATTGTAAATTTCCAGTAACTGTTAATAAATTCTTGCGTCTTGTCAAGATTTTCCAAAGAACTCTTTAAATGAAATGAAAACATTAATAATTCATCACTACATATCAAAAGAAGCATGCACATATATTTGCTTAGTAAAAAAAATTGTCGTCTTTGTTCGGTGACTTGGTACATTCTATTATTGGAAATAAAAAAAACAAAACTGAAAATATACATAAACGTAGCACAGATTTGAAACTAATAAAATTACTACTTTCGTATATTTAATTCATAATTATGTAAACAGAATTTGTGTAAATCTTTGGGATATAAAAGGTCTTCTAAGTGGCAAATTATTACAACAGACAATATTCTTTTCTTTTGTAAATATCAATAGTTTAATATGCAAAATAGTTATAAATTCAAGTAAATCTACAGAACTTGTTTGTAGTTAGTGGCATTTTTGTTTATTATATACAGCAAGGATTAACAGTTTTGCAACACAAATTTTATATCATCATAATGTTTGGAATTGTAGAACTGTATGTTTTATATCATCATAATGTTTGAAATTGTAGAACTGGACAATCAATTATTTTTGTTCTGTGACCCAAAACAACAGGGTGAGAAGACGGCATTGTAACCTCCAAAAGTTTTAAGTTAAAAACATCTGAATTACATGTCTGTTTCTGATTACAAAGGAACATGAATCTGGTGTTCATAACTAAAAACTTTCTGAAGATAATTTGAGAAGTATTCCAGTTATTGAAAGTGCCACTTTCTGTATATTTTATATATGCGGTGTTCCACCCAAAAGTCGCTAGGTTTGTGGATTAATTTTGGGGAAAGAAATGCTAGTTACTTACTATATTAAGTCAGTGGATTCCACATATGCTTCCAACATATATTGGGTCTTTACTTGATTTTAGCCCACATCCAAGACAGCACATTAGCAGTCAAGCTGTTAATGGCATCCACAGTTCTTGTATGTGGGGTCTCGTGTCAGAGATCCTTTCAAATATATGCACATGAAATGCGGAGTATTGACTGGCATTCTGCAACATATTTTATTCACATATCTGAACAAATGGGTTTTATGGAACAGTTTAAAACTAGGGACATTTAAGGATAACATCCTGTATTGATGTTGTTTTGTTTTTTGAAAAAAAAATAATTCCATGAATTTTATTAAAATATAAAGTTGTTTCTAAGTAAGTTTTTAAATTTCTGAACATTCCATCATAAATTTGAGTTTTAAGTATAGCCAACTGTAACGAAGATCAAAATTATTATATACATGCTTTAACAACCTGTAATTTACAACTTTTGTGAAGTTTGTCTCATTTCTGTTCTTGGATCAACTTAAATCTAAAGCAACAATTAAATTCTGATGTCAGAAAAGAGATTCCAAATAATGCAGAAAGTCATAGTAGGCAAGCATGAGTAAAGACAATACCAAACAATGCAAACATATTCCAACTGTTTATTCATCTAAATATGTAATTTAAATTTTAATAACACAAATATTTAAATTTATTAGCTGATTCACAGATTACGGATTATTAAAGTTAATGTATATAATTCTGACTCACTCCATATATTGCATGATACATTGAATTTATTGATTTCTAATAGCTCTGAAAATGAGTGCATCTTGCTAATTACATCATCTCTTCACAAACATAACAGAAAATCAAACAGTATGACTAAAGTAATGCACATCCATTGATAATAATTTGATTAAAATTTACATAAAAGCATACTGTAGCACAGTTTTTTCTAAAGTAGACACTACTGCCCCCTCAAGAACAGTAGTAGAAGACTTAAAATGGTACTGGAAAGTAAGGGAACAAAAAATTAGTTTAGATAAGAAGGAAAAAAGAAGAAATATGCCACACTAGCCCAAGGGGTCAATACTTCAAAAAGTGTGGGGAACAATGCTTTAACAGAATCTGAGCTGATTTGCTTTTTTTCATTACATTACTAAAAGAAACATCAAGAATAGGTAAAAAAATTTTCAAACATTACAAAATGATTACAATAAAATATTTTAATCTTATTATGTAGATTTGGATTGCAAAACAAAGCATAAGTGACAAGGAACAAACATATATTATCAATACTAAATTTCTAGTTTTTTTTTTATTGATACAGATGCAAAAATTTTACAACTAGATATAAATCTGTTAATGTCGATTTTACAACCTATGATATCTTTAATTAAGCAAATACACTGTATATATATTATAAACAGTTTACAAATTACATCATTTCAGTGTGTAGAAACAGAAAAATAATGACAAAAAATTATTCAATATTACTATTAGAGTATATCAGCTATTGCTTAATATTTGTATAATAATTTAACTACACTTTAATTTTATGTTAAGAAAAAGGATTATCTTTAACACGGACTTCAGTAATTAATGTTTGGACTTATTTAACAATTTCACTAAAAAAAATAACAGCAGTTTGCATTCATAGAATTTGGGATAAATTCTGTCAAATCCTGCTATCAAACGAAATCATATGGACGAACATGATTAAATTTTAGACTCTGAAGGAAACTGAAATTCGTAACGAGAGAATGAAAACTATCCAAACGATAAAACGATTTGCTGATATGTAGAAAGTAAGCAGCATTAAACTATACTGATCTTATTGCAATAATCTAATGTACCTGAATTTTAAAAAGCTTTGTATTTAACTAAATTGCTTCTACAATTATAAAAACAAATTTACATTAGCACCTTTGCTACCAACTGATGCAATTTTCTGTCATCCAGATACAGGAAGTTTTTGGTAAATTGCACACTTGTCATTTTTCAAATGTCAATGCTTGGTTTCTTACTTTTGCTGGACATATTTAATTATAGTGGTTTTGTCATTGTTTGCGTCTCGAGCAGGTGCCACCGACTCGATTTAGCATCATCACAAAAAGACTAGCACTTTTGAGTATCCTTTTTTGTAAGCTAGCCTGCACCATTAAAGCATTTTATCTTGTCTTAACTGTTATTTCGGAGGGTCAATCCCGTGCATCTATGATTTCTATCAATATATTTTTTCCACCTGCTCTTTAGACAATACATAATTTTGGCAAAGAACAACTTTCCATGATAAAGCTTACTGTTTTCTTGGCACAGCATTTTACAAAAACAAAGTCAATGATATCTAATTTGGTAAAAAATACTTTAAAAAGTGGAAGATTAAAATTAGCATTGTGTGATTATGAGTTAATTTACTATTGGCAAACATTTTAACCGTATTGAGAAGTCATCCTCAAGTTCCAAACTGGAAGCTCTTAGTAATAACCAAAAATATTGCATACTTAATTAACAATAGTATGCAAAATTTAAATTTAACCAATAAAGTTATATGAGAAACATAAGATACAAACCTATAATGAACCACAGAGAAAAATGAAATTAAATGCTGGCCGAATATTAAATATTTTGTTACAAAATTAAATTACTTTATCCAGTTTTTTTCTGTTATCATTAATATTGCACAATTGTTCTTTCAATAATGAAAAATATTAATTAAACACACACATCACAACTAAAACATAACAGATCATCTGTAAATTATTTTGTAATTGGTTATTTGGCTGTTATTTCATTCCATAAGATTGTCTAATTATAAAGTTAAATTCCAAATGAACCCAACAGAAAATTGAGCCAAAATCACAGTTAAACTAGCAATCACAGGTCCAAGCCTCATAATTATTGATTATTAAAAATCTTAAATCTAAAGAGTTATGGTCTAAGATCAAAAATCTAAAATAAATTTTAACATCAACTGAAACTGCAGTTAAGAGAAGTGTGATTATGATCCAACTCTATGTAATTTCACTATTCCATCAAAATGATTTTGCTGTTTAGTTACAAAATACACATTTAAAGTAGTACAAACCTAGCAATTTCTCAACATGTATTTAAGATATAAAGTAAAACTATGCAGTAAACTAATATTAAATTTAATTTTCAATTAGAAAAAAAGTTTGTCACTTGTAACTACACTAAATTTAAAAAACTGACCTGAGCCATTAAGTATAGATAAGGCTATTTTTGTATGTATCAAGTTACAAACTATCCAATTCTACTAAATCCACTCTGGAATTTTGAGATCCTTTACTAAAATGACAAATGATAAGTTTAACAACCCAGTAACTTGCATATCTTTTAAGAAACCGTCTCCATAATTTCCCAACAATGGCATTAAGTAGCATGAACAAAACCGAAGCTCAGCTTGCATTTTGGCCGATGAGGACCAAACTCATCATTTGTGATTAGCATTTTGCATACGATTACATTGAATTAATGAAATTAACAAACAGAATGAAGTTTATAGATAAAATATTTTCTTCTTACTAATATGAAAAGAAAATTATTTTTGTAAATAAAATTACTTAACCAAAATAAAATTACATTAAACATCAATCTTATAAGCTATATATATATTAATACATATGTATTCTATACTACTTTTAATAAAATTCTATGCCACACAACAAAAAAAATTAAAGAGGTGAAAGTGGCAATTAACACCTCCAACATCAAAGTTCGTAAATGTTTCGACATCCAGACCTCTTTTTGTTTTTTTTTTTTTTTTAATGAAGAAAATAGGACACAGAGTTAATTTTAGAAACGCAGAGTTTTACGGCCATGCTCTCGACTTCTAGTTATTACGCTAATAATAAAAATCTCTCCGCAATATTAAACAATTCCCTACCTGATAGGTATCGAGCAGCTTGATCGTCGAAGCACGAATGAAGTTCTGTGAGGGAATAACCTGAGTGGATGAAGGAGCGGTACTCTTAGCAACATTTCGTTGACCATACGAAATACTGTTAGATGACGATACGGCATATGGAACAATACTATTACACTGATTGTGGTCTACAACATAGTTCACTGCACTGTTTCCATTATCACCCAAGACACCACTGGTTGATGAGATATCACTGACCTGATTTGGATTTCCATATTCCATACTAAAAAAGCAAATGAAAGATACACATTAACGCATTCTACATCAATCAATATTTAATAAATTAGAATAAGAAATCAATAAACTAATATCAATCTTTTGACAAAAGCAATGACAGACTTTTAAATGATTGATTCAATTTTTTGAAGCCACGTAAACTGTTTTATAATTACTGACACACAATTTTGTTATAAAAGCCAAGACTCAATGAAAATCTTGCAATTTAGCCTTGATAATCGCTTTACATATGTTTCAAACCAACACGAGGCATAATTCTCACACAAAAACTTTGTACTCTTGCAAAATGCCAGGCATTCTTATAGGGTTATAAATAATGATACAATCCTAATTTCAATGCCAAATCATATCTTATTGATTATGCAGAAGTTATATTTTGAAATGTTCTGCATGATGTAAGTTGAATGTGTAACAGATGCAACCTTTCCACGATACAAGCTACAGTATATACACAAAACCTATAACAACTGAAAAAATATCCATTTTAAATAACGCAATTATTTAATTAATAAAAGGAAAAGTGATTTTTTTTAAATTTATGTTCTACAAAATAAAAAACATTACACAGATGCTTTAATAATCCAAAAACTAAATGAAAGTGGAATGATATCTAAAACAGAGTTTATATATTTAATTTTGTCTTTATTCAAAGAAAAATGATGAACAACATAAATATTATAAAATGAGTTAAATATTAAAATATTTAACCAGATAATTTGATTCAATAAATACCCTGATCATTTATCTAAAGTAACTTGTCCAAACATAACACTTGACGTAGGACTGTTGTTGTGTAACAACAATCCAGTATTGAACTAGTTTGAATTTTTTGTATTTTTTGAATACACAAAATAACTAATTGCAACCAATTGTTTGCTTAATGACATACATTTTATTTATAATAATTAATTCATACATGTTTTGTACCATCCTTCCTACCAGCACAAGTTTGTTAATAAAACTTGCATAATTGGAAGCATGCATCTGCTGTACCTTCACACAATATTAAATGGTAAAAACAAACATTTCAACCATGTTTTAAGTATTTCTTTTATTGTAAAGAATTTAGGTTAGATCGTTATATCCACCATATCGTATTTGTAGCAATCAGATAGGAAATACGATATTGATTCCAGCAGCTGTCGAAACAAAGTTTACGTCATTAAACAATTCTTGATGATGGATCAACTATTAAATTACCATACGGTTGATTTTTAAATTCCTTCTCCAAAACTCATGATAATTTAAACTGCAATGAAATAATATTTAAGAGACTCAAGTATATTCGCTTAAAAACTCAACTGTTACCAAAATGTTGCTTAAGTAAGCTTTGATTATGTAACGTAGAAGTCACATAATTTTTTGTACGCAGATAAGACACGATTGTTTTTTACACTTAAAAACCTACTTAATAGATATTTTGGAATGCCTATAAAGTGTACTAATTACATACCAATTTAGGTCATCCAGCTTTCTCTTTCTGCACCCTTCGAAGGATGTACTACTGACGCCTCTATGTGATTGTAGATAATGCACTTTATCAAGCATCCCAATATCTCCCTAAAATAACAGTAATATTTTTAATAAAAGTAATCACATTAAAACACTTTATAAATATAACAAAAATACAAATATCGTTTTCTTTGGTGTCTCTTTCCTACCATAAAGTATAGCTCGACAAAGGCGACAAATGATTTTGTTAATACGTAAACATTTAAGATTACGGATACGGTACAAGATTACTTGGGCCTCCGCCATTAAGAAAGATCGACCGAAACAAACGTAAAAAGGCAGAGAACGAGACTCGTCACGATAACGGTGCCGAGGTAATTAGCTTCGATTACCGAGAATTTCTAATGACTCCATTATGTTTTATGCTACTTAATTGGCATCCGGACACTGGCAAGCATCACAAATAAGTGTCATCGATACTATAGGTAATTAAGAAAACTTTTAAAGAAAATCTCAAGACTGTTAGTTTTCAATAAGTATACTAAAAAATTGCATGCATATTCATCAATAAATTAAAAGAAAGTCGTACGTTCCGCATAACTTATTCCATTTACAAACGGCACAATGTTGTGTGTTGTTTGTAAATGAACTAAGTTATGCGGAGCCTTGCCCAAGAAATTTAAGCAAACATTAATTATAATTAATGCTGTTCTAGTAATATAATTGCATTTTCTGTAAAAGTTTACTATTACAAAAAATAAAAAAACGTTTGAAAATCCATTTTGTAATATAACAAAAAATTCTTAAATATTCAATTTTTTGATGTGCACAAATGTCAAAGTTACAATTCCTGCAAGTACACAAAGCAGATTTCGACGTCGGCATATTATTTTCTAACATAAAAAAAATCAAACGGCAACGTCGTGGGACGTGGAAGCGGCGATGTTGCAAAATCAATGTTTCATAACTGCCACATGTCACCGGCACAAAGCAACTCCGAAACAACTCGCCCCCATAAAAGCCGAATGGAAAGGTATAATCCCACTATTGCGACACCATATTTTATTTTTCTCATACATAAAATAAGCTCCTAATATACCTAATGTCGAAAAAATTATTTAATGTTAGAAGTAGGCTATATCGGCCAGTTTCTTGTAATAAAGGTAAACATCGAGTTACATTATTCTGTAAAAAAGAAGTGTGTTACATACACGATCGGAGCATCTACAATATTTAAAACTGCACTATTTTCTAGTTACAAAGCAATTTACAGTTACATCCAACCAAATCAAAGTTTTTACTATTGATACCACCATTCAAAAGATCCCACTCTGTCCCCACCCTTCATTAATATCTAATTTCTGCCATTTGAGAGTAAGGAAATGCATAGAAAACTCAACTTTACTCAAACAGATCACAAACTAATTAAACATTGATATTTCTGCAATTGAGCTTGTTATAATATAAAAAGTCAATTTTCTATTTTACAAATTTACCACCTAAAGGTGGTGGTGGTGGTAAACTTCAAGAGAAAAAACAATTCACATTTTTCTTTGTAGCTGGTAACCATTCACAGGGTATATATATATAACACAAACAATATACTTAAGTAGACGCTTTCAACCAGCATAAAACTGTACCAGAGAGAAAAATAATACCATTTCTGGGCTTCCATTTTGATTCCAAACACGAAAAATAAATTTCGAAAATTTCGTCTTTCGAAACCGAATTCCATAAAGTTAACAGATGGCACCACGCACCAAACAAAACGGCGGAAACATTCCTCACGAACTGCACACTCGAACACGCAAAAAAGCGGCGCACAAAACAACGTGGAGAGACAATTAAATCCCCTCGCTTACGACCGTAGTTAAAAAGAGTATTGTAAAATTGCCCGGGGCAAACGGCGTGAGAAACAATACCAGAAGTATTACGTCACGACTCGACGGTCCGAGAAAAAAACAGCGCAGAAAACACCAAACAACACGGGAATCCGGTAAAAATGTGGGTTAAGCTCTTTCTATAGTTTAAACACGCAGAAGGTTAAGAAAATAATGTTTCGCACGAAGACGGATTTCGAAATTAAATAAACAAAAAGGGTCGTAAGTACTAATCGCCCGCGGTATATTTACAGAACGTGACGCCACGGTCGACGCGACGCGACGCGCCAGCCAGCTTGGCCGGAAATTAATTCGACCCTCTGCCAAATTTAAACTTGTTTTTTCCCGTAAAATATTCTCTTTCCGACTCATCGATACGTTCGTATTCCGATCTCGTGCCAAATCGTCGCCCCTCCTTCCCCGTTTCCCGCCCCAAAACTAATTTAGGATTCCTCTTATTCCTCGGTCTGGTTTCAATCCCGGTAACCCCGATGCGCGCAAATGCAAAAATATCCGATTACACGCCCAGGACGTAAATAATTTTTAATTTTCAAAAATATTCTAAGTCGAAGAGAACGTCGCGCCGACGAATTTAACGCTTTTCCCCCTCGTCGCATTTAAAAAAAGCTTCTAGCGGCGCGACTTGCCCTCGCGAGCCGAGAAGCGACCAATGGCGCTTCGATATATTTAAATCGCTGCGATAAGCGATTGGTCGTTCGACAGAGCGACTCGTCCCGATCGCGCGTCAGAAGCGATCCGCGAGCGCGAAAGACACGGGATCGACCAATAGGCGAAGTAGAAACGGACGAATAACGAATTTTTAAATTTTTTAAACCGCCAGGACGAACGTGTCTCGCCGGGCGTTGTCGCGTCGCAACACCTACCGCATTTCGAATCGGGCGGAGACGTCATCCAGTCGATAGAAAATGGGGAAGGGGAGGAGAAGCGAAATCCTCAGACGACTCTAAATAAGCTGGCGTTCGCAAGTCGAGGAGGATTCCATTCCGAAATGGAATACCTGGCTCCGGGCGGTGTTCGGTGTGTGCGCGAGAGGCGACGGTGTTCTATCCCCTCGTTCTCCCTTCGGATTATCGAACGATCCCAAAGGGGGGAGGATTGGCAGCCGGTTATATATTTTACCTCCTCGTACGAAACACCTGCGCGAGCTTATCTGCCCACATCTGTCCAAGACTTCTATGGCGCTATCCCCGACGGGGAGCGACGACGATAGTCGAGTCGACGCGATAACCGGGCGAGGTTGTTTATCGCCCCGCTCCCACGTCACAGAAAATCTGCCGGTAAACACTCCCGGCCTCTACTCTCCGAGGGGGGAACGAGCCTTCTATCGTCCCCGTCCCGACCACTCGACGGTCGTTAACCCTCCCGGCTCTTCTCCGTCTGCCACATTTCGGATGTAGGCCATGTGCGTCGGGTGCTGGCAGACGGAGACCAACCGACAGCCGCCTCTCTCGCTCCCTCCCCTCTCCGCCGACTCGACCACAACGTCTACGTCCGCGTGACGTCACCGTCCTTGAAAAATCCTAGAAGCGCGCCGACGTCACCGGCGGCGCGAGGACTGTTGCCAGATTCGGGAGGATCCGGGCGCCTACCACGCGTCTTATCCAATTCGCTCGGTTTCGTCGCAACGCAACGCCGGCTCCTCGTTTTCCAAAAATTTCTAATCTCTTTCGAGGAAGGGCGAGCGGGGGGAAGAGGGGGAGGAAATTGACGGATTCTGCGAGAATCTCGCGAGTTAGCAGAACGTGACGCGCCGTCGGCGTACTTGGCAGATTTCCAGAAATCCGCGCCCCCCGATGACGTCAAAAGGCGGTGACGCGAGACTGTTCCCCCCGCGACCGCGAGTTCGTGCGAAACATCTGCGTTTGACCTTCGTCGACATGTTCTACCTGTACCGTTTTTCGATAACGATACGCCGCGCTCCCCAATGAGCGATAATTCAAGGTCGGGCGCTAATCGCACGCGGCGACCGTCGCCGAGAACACCAGACACCGCCGAATTTCAAAAACAACCACCAAAAAAACTGGCAACCTCGACGATAACGTGCTACTCGAAAAACGCATTAATTCCTGGAGCGCCGCGATGCATTCGGCAACGCCATCTATGTGCGCTTAATGGAACGACTAAACAATACCCTCCTCTCTCAATTCGTTCGGTACGCCACTCCAAAGCACGAGACGTTTCGTGACACTCGAGCACGAGACGCGTTCTACCGAAACGGCGTCGCACGCGATGCGTTTCGCGTGCTTCTTTCGTAACTTCCTGTTAGGGGCGACCCGCAGCGGCGAAAAATGTCACGACACGGCTGCGGCGCCATCTACTGGCTTCTTCCTCGGGTCGGGTGGGCGGAGGGAGGGCGGGAAGCGGATGTTTTTGCAGAACGTAACGAACAAAAGTAGGTAGTTACGGGGCCTCCCGGCCCGACCGACAGGTGAGGCCTTCGATCCACCACCTGCTCCGGCAGCGGCTAGGCCGAAAAAGGATATTTACCTGTAGAAAAACTAGGGGATGAATAGACACGGGAACTATTTTGGTCGGCAGCTGTCGTGCGGTCACAGATTGCCGGTAGCCAACAGAAACATAATTGAAAGCAACGTACTCCCCGTCTCCTTTTGTCCCACTCCCCCGCTCCACAATGCACCATTCACAGTTCCCCTCCTCTGGAAAAAAACAGGAACGGGGACCGAGGAGCCGTGTCCCAAACCGTCCCGAGCACGTTTACGAACGCCAACCTAACAACAAATCTAAGAACACATCCCCTTTAGGAAATTATCGATAAGTCAACCCCCTTCGGGCGTAAATGGCGAAATGGACGGGCGTGAAGCGCATTAGGAAAGGATGGGTGGCTCTTCCGTTTCCTGTAAATACCAGCCAGGTGCAGTGGAGATAAAATAAAACGAAGGGAAAAAAAGGGGAGCGAGGTCATCACCGGTTACCAGGCGCCATAACAAAATCGCAAACGGAGGACGAGAGACGTCGCGACGAGTTCACGCGACATTTCCTCCACAACCGAAGACGCGAGTGGGCGATGGCGACAAACGAGATTTCGCGCAACTGGAACAATAAAGATAAACACATTTCTTGGCAGATACGTAGGTTACTTTAATGACATCATCCGCAGTTTGACGTTAATGGGAAATGACGAACATCCTGTCGGGTGCCATTTCGAACGCCGCGACCTTTACAGACGGAAAAAAGCGCTGAAGTAACGACCCGGTTCGTCCGTCCGTCCGTTCGTTAAAAAAGCCACAAAAACATCCCCGTAAAAAAGTGCCATAAACCGAGTGAAGTGGAACGACGGTAATTTCTGAGCATTCTATTGTTCTTGCAAAGAAACACCACATCCGGGAAGGCGACGTTTTTTCCCGTCTTCGACTGAAAAACGCTCTGGATTGATGGGTTCTCGGGGGACTCCCATCTTTTTGGATGAAGTCGAAGAGATTCGATCACGACGTCCGGTGGCGCGAGAAGGGGGACGGAAGAGCGTATAAAGAAAGTTTTGCGCGATCGATGGCGACAAGCGCGTCTTGATCAAACTTTCTGCGATAAGGGCACGTACCTGGATGGGAATTTCCATGGCGCACGGTCTATAATCCACGGCAGATCAGAAGGCAGACGCGCACACACATAGATGGACCGGCAGACAAAGACACTTAACAAGAGGAATGGCCGAATCCATACATCTGTCTTGGCCACATGCACGCACGGCACACACACACACGTGTATGTGAAGTGAGGAGGAGAGGTGGCACCGACTGCTCCGCAGAGGGAGAGCGGGACAGATTAAAAGGCCACTTATGTGTTCCCCCGGCAGCTACGTCAATCGATGGACACGTCCCCCCTTTCTCTCTCTCAGGGAAAGACTGAAGTGTTCATTAGAAAGCGTGAACAGATGGCGTGACGTCCGCGCACGCTTCGCACCCGTTTGGAAACAACTGTGGCACCCGCGCTCCGACTTAACGACGTCGTAAGGATTCTTCCCGGCTCCCATTAATCTGTGCAGCTGGAAAACAACTCTTTAAAAACGACAGCGCTGCTGGAAACACGCACCGGCACACACAAACACATACTGCAGGGGGAGGAACGCAGATACGTCAACCGTGTGCAGCTGCACGTCCCCTCCTAAAGGATGAAAGGGGGTTTCTCTTCTAATTTCCGCCTGTCAGGGGTGGACGGCGCTTGACCGATAACGCTCCGTGCCTCGGGAGCCGATCACGTGATGTCGGCGCCGCCGCGTCACGCAAAAATGGCGACGGGATGGGCTCCTTCCCGACTCCGAAGGCGCGCACGTCGTATGCAAATGGGCGAAGTGCAGATTCCACACCTAATTAAACTCGGAATTCCGACCGAATAGTTGTAAACACACGCGGGCGGGAAGGGGTTGTGCTCGCGCGCGCGCGCCGACTGCAAATTATTGTAATTTCGCCGCAAACACCAGCCCGGACGCGAATTGTAACAATTAAAAATGTACGCGTTGCAGAATTTCATTCGGTAAACATTCATTAGTCGCTCACGTCTGCGTGCATTCGGAGGAGGGTGGTTTTTCTCGGGAAGATTCCGGCACGAAAACGTGTCCGCGTTGTAGCCTTTCCACCTTAATTTCCACCAAAAGGAATTCTTAAGGAATAAAGGATAAAACCGAGGCGTACTGCACAACAGCAAAGCGATGCCATCAACTTGTGTAACGTAGAAGGAACCGATCAAAGTTCGTCAACAGGTGAAACCGCTACGACCTCCCCCCACTGCTAAGTAAACGGAATAAAGTTCCCGCGTCACGTGACAGCGCGGAAAGGGTAAAAAGTCTCATTCGATACGGTTCTACCTCTACTCGAATCCGTACACTCGGGAAATGTGACAATAATGTCGTTCCCAAGTAACGTGGAAGAGGTTAACGAGGACAGTAGGACACAGCAACCCTTAACGACCCAGGTTATTTTTTCGTGTCACACGATAGATACACGCATTGAGCCGATTATTAGGAACGAATTAAAAAACGCCTTATTAGTATCATTTAGGGCACGGGATCATAAAAATGAAGACCAGAATAAGATTCCATCCGTTGGCACGTGTTTTTCCTCGTGCAAGCGGTAATTTGGAAGACGAAAGACCCTCAAACTTGCCAGTTCTCGATTCAAACTCGGGGGTAAGCGAGAACAAATGCCGGTCACGTGACTACTGGGGAGCTTAGAAACCAACCTCTGCTCTGGCAGCTGTTTATTCCTACTGTCTATTCAACCCTGCGAATATTTTAAGCACAATTCGTTTCGACATCACTCTCTTCGAGAATCACCCTGCCAAAGATATTTTGAATCGTCCTAGAAACAGCACGCTTCGTCATTACGCCGGTACAACATTAATTCCACTTTCTTCTCCCCGGCAAGGGGAAGAAAGGAGTATTAAATCTTGGGATACTGGGGACGAGACCGGTCTCGCGCGCGAAGTACGATGTGTGGCCAGCACCAACGCTTACGAAGAGAAAGGAGTGGAGAGAGGGAGAGGAAGCGGGCACAAAATTTAAAATCGAGAGTGACTGGGTATTAAGTCTGCAGTATGGTGGCTCTCCTCTCTCCCCTCTCGGAGGGTTAATAAAAGCGACAGTCCCACAATGCCCTACGGGATACCCTCCCGAACGAGAGTCGACAGCGGGAGTTCGGAGCAACGGGGTACACGATGACTACACAAAAGAATCGATGACGGCGGCATCGTCAGCTGCATACAGACAACTCCAGCCGAGCCTGTAAGAAATTATGGGATGCCGAGAGGGAGTCGCTTCCGATACAGAAAAAAATCCTCCCCCCGATATTAAAGCGGGAAACAATGGGGTTCCCGACCATTCTGTTTTTCCTCTTTAATAAATAACGCCATTACCAATTGGTCTAGAATTAATCGTCATTGCCGATTGTCCAATGAGAGACGAGATGGTTGCACTTCACCCGTGGATCCCCGCAGGTGCGCACTTCCCATCTAGAAAACACATTCCACCCATCCTACTGTGAAAGCTTCTTTTGGTGGAGCTAACTGTAATTACGGTCGAGGAAATGGAATGGAGACCAGACCCTCGGGAGGCTTTGTTTCTAGGGGAAAAAAACCCTCTCGAGGAAGGGAGAACTTTAGTATCCACCCTATAACCAGAAACTTCTCGAAAATACGAACGAGTGTAACGTATGCCCCCCTCGACAATTAACGAGCGTCACTGCTAAGCGGGGGAGTAACCCAATCCAGTGTTTTCTAAAAACGGAACGAATGAGAACGGGCCCGGGCCCTAAATAAAAACTTTGTTTTGTAAAGACACAGTCCCGAATTTTCTCACCCTCTATTCATAAAGCCGATGAAATGCAAATTGGAGCGCGCGACGCCTTCCCTAATTAATGAGATGTTTCAAAAGGGGCAAAACGATACAAACCTGAATTTTTAAAACAGCGAGAGACCAGGCCTTAGGAGGTTTTGTTTGTCGAAAACATATGGCTCCCCGGGGAAGTAATCTAAATATACAGACCATACAAACAACAATTTCTTCAAATTAAGCTGGTTTCGCAGGGGGTCTTCACGATTAAGCGAATAGTAACGTTTTCCTAAAGGAGGAAATCCCTTCGCCCCACGTAAAACCCAGCGTTTTTACGAAACAAATGAGGGGTCGAACGGTCGAGCGCCACCGGCATCGTAACCGAGGGACAAAATTTAATAGGATTTGCAACACGTGCCGAGTCGACACCGTTCCCAGAGTACACCACTCGATACGGAATCCCTCCTTTAGAATAAAGAAAAATACGTATATTTATATATTCTCAACCGTAAACGTGACCTGTTTAGCGAAAGTTCGCTATATGCGGGGCACTCATTTCCACTCATTACGTATCGAAGTGCGTGCTGGGAAAGCCGTCGATCCGAACGAAATAAACTGGAGAAAATTTAATTAATTTTGTGCATGGTTGCCCGTTTGTGGGTCTTCGAACGTAGCTGTACTCGCAGAGAAAAGTACGATATGACCTAAAACGGGGGGTAGAGAAATACGCGCGCGAGGCGCGAATGTTCCGTTCTTCTTTCCCGCGCGAATTGTCTCTTAAAAAACTGTGTCGAGCCAACGGTGACATAATTAATAAAACTATAATTGGAAGAACCGCTCGAGCCTCGCAGCATTTCCTCATCAACGTGACTGGGGAGAGAGAGAAGAGAGGTGCCCCGGGTGAACTGCACTACATGCCACTCGCTCTCCGAACTGGTTCAAACGTAACCGATAGCAAGGGGGGAGACTTCTTATCAACCATGTCTTGTGACGGGGCAGATAAAATACTGTAAAATCATCCTGCCAGCTGCCATTAGTCAAGCGCTTTTGGTCGAGTGACAGCAAGTAGAGCGTGCCTGGGTTGCACTTTTATAATCTAAGCGACGATTGCAACCCGGAGGACTTTATGTTCGCAGCGAAAATGAACCTTGGACAGGGGGAATCCCCGCAGGGCAGCACGGTTCTCTTATCAACGAGAAAAGCGATTCGAATTTTAGCCGGCCCACATTTTTGAAACTCGTAAAATATGTCTTCTCGGGTGGAACGGGGCAGTGTTGCCAACCAGACATCAAAAAAATAAACCTCCAGATAACAAGACTCGCACCGAAACACGAAATTAAACTTACGGTATTGGAAAATCCCCCAGCCAACCCGCGCGCGGGGTCGGCCGCCGTGCGGCGCTACGCAAAAATCACCCCCAGTTAATCACCGAAACTGCGCAGAAACCTCCAAAGTCTCGTAAACTCTTGCGAATGCTAATATTTAAAACTAACGAGCCCTGGGAGGCCGTAGACATCCGCGTCGTGTCAGAGCCATCCAGGGGGAAAGGGGGAAGCACGCGACAATGGTGGAAACGGCCAATAACGGTCGACGGGACGAAACAATCGTCGAAAAGAAAAAGCCATTCCGGTGGGGTAGAAGTAAAAGATTGGTGTTCTCCCGTTTAGTTTTAATGCCCGACATTATTTTCCAAAATAAACGGAAACATTGGAAACTAGTGTAATGTTTGGCTCGGCGGGGGAGTGCGGGGGTGTAATTTCCAAGTATAACGACCATTTTCTATCGACGCAGCAGCCGATCGAGGGATAATGCATCAGAAAGGAAGCAACATGCATACAATTATGGCCGAGTCGGCAATTAGTGACCTCCGAGTTGTTTCCTCTCCCGTTGTAATTTACATTTGGAAACGGGATTCGGTCGAATTGCATCACCGTAATCGGAGGGAAAATTTTATTTTTAAAGTTAGCTGCCGCTGCAAAGCGCGGTCTATTCTTGGACACGAAGAGAAATATTTCTTTGTGTGACGGGTGGACAACTAACTGCAGTCCATCGTCACAAAGGAACGCTTCTTTTCAATCACACCAGCACAGCCTGCAGCCTTCCATGAGTCACACTCTGCATATTTAGCCCTCCTTGACTTTTCTTTCCTGACTCATTCTCTGCGTATAAAGCGAGTGTTCCCGAATCAAAATTACACTAAGAATTTTATTTACTTTTTCCCAACTCCTGATTTATACGGTATGCAAATCAGCAACTTCTACATCTGTATGACAGAATTTACAAATCATTACACTGGCAGAATTATAGAAAGGATCTCATTTTTAAATTTTTCCCCCTGTCGACTTAATGGATGTTTTTTAGAGAGTAAAGAGTGCATTCGACTTAACGACCGCCCAACAATAATAATAATAAAAAATTAGATTGAATCTGATGCCTTACTGTAACAGCCGGTAAACCCTGTCACATCTACAGCCTGCCTCCAGTCTACAGGGATGTTTACAAAACTATAAATTTGTCTACGGCTTCTTAATGACCATTGCTCTGTACGGGCGTGGAAGCATTTGTAGTGTACTTTTTGACTTAATAGTACTTGTAATGTGGCACCGTCTGAAAACAATACACCTATCCGGGTGTTTCTAGGCAGCTATCTGGTTACTGGACAACATAATTGTTTGCCGGATAGTGAAATCTTATACTCGGAGACTTAAAAGATTAAATAACAAACCTGAGTTATCTGCAGTTAATAATTTGATAAGCCAAGAAATCTTTAATTTCTTTTACTTGGAATAAAATATCTGGGCAATTTTAAAATCGTTTCCAGGATGGAAGTGGAAGTTTGAAGCCAAGCCTAGTGGAACTGTGTTAAATTACAAAGAAATAGAGATTAGATAAAGTATATTTCCTCTAGAAGGGAAAAATGCTGTGTTAAAATGAGATTTTTTGCAAAAATCTAAGACTGAACACTTCTAAATAGTAAGTTATCAATTGTTCCACTTAATATAATTTTTTTAAACGTAAACATTACTGTCCTACTTTTTGGATAACAAACAATATTTCCTTTTGCTGGGCAAATAAAATGCAAAAGGTTAATCAACTACGGACTAAAAAGTAAACTCAATTTATTTGTCGAAACGTAGAATTTTATTGCTTCTGGGGAGGCATTTGCTCAGGAGATTTAAAAATTTAGAAATGAGCTAACCAAAATTCGAAAATAGAATGAATGAGCATTCTGGGAGAATTGGTTGTAATTTCAAAGAAATGGCATGACATCTGTTAGTTTTGAAATAAACAGAATGATGTCATGCTCTAATGCTAAAAGTATACAGTCAATGACAGTCATGACTGGCCTTGTTCTACAGGGTCATAAGAAAAAAACAGGAAAAAACTACAGCAGCAGTTCCCGAACATTTCTAAATTCTTTACAGTATAAATGCATTCACATACCTAAAAGCAAATGTCAACCTTTTCTTCTCCTCGTTAAGATGATTTCACGCTTCTCTCTCATAAGGCCAACATGCAGTTTTATTTTTTTTCAAATCGACTTAAACTGGAACGTGTAAATTTGCTAACTGAATATTTTATAGAAGATAGGATCGCTCCTAACAAGGCCTGTGTTGCATTTTCTCGGGATGGCACTACGACTCGGGGCAATCCGATATACAAAAATCTGATACCGTAATTTCCTGTTAAACTGTCGGATCTGATAGAATTCCCTTATAACTTCTGTTTTTATACTTTGAAATGAAATTTTGAACAAAATGAAATACAGTACCAAATCTATCCAATTTGGTTATTAAACTTCAATTTTTCAAGTAAATGAAGAAATGAAAGTATCTCAACTCACTTTGGATGGACAACTTACAAAAAGCATATAAGATACAAGCTGAAAAACTAATTCATTAATAACAAATTCACATCAACAAAATATTGTGTTTTTATTTAAATAAAATCATATTAAGATACTAAGTTAATATTTGTGAACAAATAATAACCTGATGAAACATCACCCCATAAATTGGAATTTTAGACATTCTTTTATATAGCTGCAAGCACTGTTCCTGATGTGATGTTTCATTGAGTCGTAAGGCAAAATTCTATGTTAATCCAGTTTCGTAAACAGAGAAAAAAAACACTACTGCATGAGTAATGATTGCATTCCAACTCGTAACAGAAGGTGAAAAATATCCAAGAAACTATCTTATCTAAATAATTAATTTAGAAATTCATTCTTTTCTTTTACATTTAATGGGTCCTTTATGCTTTGACTTTTTAAGATAAAATATTCAAAAAATTCTTTCTTAATGAAAACTTAAATACCCCATACTTATACAAATTTTATTTATCAAGGAATCTTTCAACTTACATAAAAAACACATAAGACAATTAAAAGAAAACTGCAAAAGCTCTTCCAGATTAAACAACTACAGGTTAATGACTCAAACAATTTTCTACATATAAAAAAAGTATTTGGAAAGGAAATACAAAATTCCAATTTGCAACTACTAAAAAAGTAGGTTGAAAATTATAAATAATATATAATTACTCTAATATTTATTTTCCAATTAATAATTCATACTTAGATTTGAGCGTCGACACTTCCTTTTTCCCAAAATTGCAGACAGAAATTAATTACTGGAGGAAATTCTGCATTTAAAAAATTATCTGATTAGCATTACACGTGTTACGCCACCAATAATGTTCTCTAAGTGTGACATATTTTACGAAACAATACTTTCAGAGGAAAATCTGTATAACAAGAATTTTCTAACAATAATATACAAACATATATATTTAGTATTCAAACCACTAGATAGAATTTCCACTGGCAGCAGCAACCACAACCTGTAGGAACGACGATTCCAAAATGACAATATCGGTTATAATTGTTAAACTATGATGATAAATATAAAGCCATCCACAAACAATAGAAATTAATTTAAATATAGAATAAGCACTTCAATCACTTTAATGACAAGAGAAGCTGTCTATAAAGCAGAACATACAACCGGATATGGAGACGAACAGATGTCGTTACGTATTGAGCTAGCAGTTACAGTTTCGGACAATTCATGCCATGCAAAAACAAAAAAAAGGGTCAGTGTTATTGAAACTATTGATAAAACATCTGTCTAAATAGAGCAAAGAAAAATTTACAAGAGTTTTGCAAAGATCGAACAATGTCGAGAAAATATAATTGTAATTTCTTTTGTCATTCTGGATGATAAAATTTTATTATTTGGCCAGTTACACACACAGCTTATTCTTATTTTTAATGTAAATTTTACATCAACTTTCAGAACAAATATTTAATTATACTATATATAAAATTTTGAAATTATAGAGAGGATTCTTGGAATAAGTCATAATAAGCAAAAAGGATTTACTAAACCACATAGTACTTACTACATGAACAATAGGATCAAACCACATTTTTTAGGAATTTATTTGCTTAAACAACAGTTTTAATTAGCAAAATTTGCAAAAATTGATATATTTATTCATACAAAAGTCAAAATTACACACAGATCTCTAATCTATAAGCTCGAAGACTGGTTTACATCATCTAGACATGTGCCAATGATAATTTGCTTTGAAAAATATCCCAAACTTTCCAAAGTCGACAATTATCTTTTGCAAAGAAAATTAATTGAATAACTAGTTTATAGATTAAAAGTGAGACTTATTGTTAATCAGAACAACATCTAATCTATAAAGCACGGTTCATTAACAACTTTGTTTATTCATTTGAACCTCGGTACTTTTCATTAATTAGGCGGTTGGAAAACAAAGAACAATTCTTATATATTCAAAGACTCAATATAACTACATTGTTATAAATCCTCCTTGTTTCTTATAATCTTACTTTGTAGTAAAAGATGGAATTTAAAAGTTTAAACCATTCAACTCACATTACATATAAAAATAAATACACTAAATTATCAAACATCTTGCAAAAGTCTCTGCTGATACCAGCAAAAACTTGAATGAAGAACAATGGGCTGAAGCTACATATGTTCTAACTAAAATATAGAAAGTACTGCACACATTATACCAACGGTGGGCAACCCCCGGCCCGCGGGCCAGCTACGGCCCGCGAAAAGTTTCTATCCGGCCCGCGAGATGTTTAGAAGAAATTATAAATAAATATTTTTCGATGTAATTCGTCTAGTTTAAATTGAATATTATTTTCTGAAGTGTTGTGACAGCAATGACAGGAAAAAATAAGGGAGTCATTTCCTTATTCAAACAAAAAATGGGAGAACAGAATTTTTCTAAATTATTTATATCTCATCGCGTCATCCATCAAGAAAATCTATGTGCAAAAGCTATGCAATTAGAAAATGTAATGTCTGTCGTATCCAACTACATAGGGCTGTTTTTATTGTGTTTAAAGTCACTTAGATTTTACAAATAGGTGAGCCGTTCACAGCCTGGCACACGCATTTGTAAAATCTAAGTGACTCATACAACATGGAATTCATATAAAACGGAATAATCAACAGTGTTATAGGGGGGTCGACTGTAGTAATTAATTTCTTTTTATTTATTTATTTATTTCATATTTGCAGACTAAAAATTTACAGGTCACAAGGTGTCAATTAACTACTATGGCCCGCGGAAAAAACGTAAAATTTATTCTGGCCCATGTTATAAAAAAGGTTGCCCACCCTTGCATTATACCATAATTAATTTAAATTAATAAAGAAGTTTCCTCATTTAGCTATTCTCACTTTCTCTTTTTACACAAAGTAGTATTTACAGAATAAATCCCAATGCTAACACAGCCATACTGTACTATTCAAAGACACTATACCTCAATAAATCTTTGCAGATTTAGTAAATTAATAGAATGCCATTCTAAATAAGTTCTTGAATTAAAATCAACAGATCATCGGACGCTCGGACACAATGCCGATCCTTCTACTTGTTCCTTCAATTGCAATCCATTATCCTGCCATGCTACTCGTGGATCTGTCACAGATTCTAGAACTGATTAGATAATGTAGTAATTCTCCAATGAATCAACAGAATTATCTTCTGAATGCAAAATGAGCTTCATTGTTTAACTTTTGAATAGTAATTGTATGAAGATTATCCATAACAGAAACTAACCTTTATCGGTTTTAAAAGGTGGAGTTTACGGTTTCATTTGGGAAATGGCTTGTACAGAGAAACCATTCTTTTGGGTATTTTACCACATTCAAATGTACATTCTGTCAGTAAAAACTTTATAGAATTGTATAGGGAATTTTTAAAATCATTCTTCAAACTTTGAGGTAACATTTTTAGGTATTTTTAGAGAGACTGTTATAAAATATATGCTAATTTTATTGATGTAATGCAAGATAAAAAAGCTTCAAATTTGAAAGAATCTCCAATTTGACCTAAGCCAAGAGATAAATTTGTAAAATTAACTGCCAAAAATCAGATTTATTTAAAAGGCAACCAAAAAACTGGCCTAGTTATTCAAACATCAAGCAGAATTAAAAAAAAAGAAAAAAAATCACCAGGATATAAAAAGTTTAAAATTTAACTGCAATAACAAAGTAAAAAATAAATCTGAATGCTAAAAATCCATTATATAATTGCATTTTTCATGAATTAACAGCTTACAAATGGCAGTAATTAACCAGATGTTTTCTAATAATTAGGAATTCTGAATTTAGACTTATTCAAAAAGCAAGTATGAAAATATTTATTTATAGTGTTTACTATTGTTAATAAAGCTATTAGTTCCATTAGCAAAATGAAACTGTTTAAAAATACTACACCAACAAAATAAATTTTTATCAATAAACAAATTGAATGTGCATTGCTTAGCTGCAAGCAATAATTTATATTTTTACTGTAAATACACAAATTACTAAGTATTTTTACATAGTGACTTCCAAATTACAATAATAGAACTATAGAATTATTCTATGGAGCATTGTTAAACAATACTATATATTAAAACAATATTTATTGTCTACTTTGCAGCTATTAAGTTCAGTTTCAATTGTAACATGAACTAAACAATAACTTTCACTGTAGTTACATAATTCTTCCACTCTAGCCTAGGTTTACAGTGGTAATTTCCCATACAAAACTGCATGTATTTCCAAATAATCAAACTAAACATTCAAAAATAATTACCTAACAATAACTTGTAATGTCAGACAAATATAATAAGTTTAAATGGAATTTAAAACTAAAACTTTGTTTAAATTTATCTAGAGAAAAATAATATTTATAAATTATATATCAAGCAAACAATCCATCCACGAGTGCACAGTATTTTTAATTCACAAATCCACTTAAATGGTAAGCGAGCAATTACTTTACCACCAAAAACACAAAATACAAACAACTTTTTTATACCACGACTTTA